ACATCGCAAGCGAGAGCGCGATTCTTATATCAATTACAAGGACGTCCTTAGCGAGAGCGCGATTCCACAGTAAATTGCGAAGACGTATCAGGCGGGAGCCGTTGATGCTGTCGTAAGCCGGGGGCCAGGGCACAGTTAGAGGAGGGAAACTATCCCTGATACAAAACAGGGTGCGAGCCCCGGGAGGGGCATTTCAATGGAAACACACATATGTTACCAGAGGGGGGCGGATTAACAATAATTGTTGTTTCACTCGCGAGATCTCAAGAATAATAACAACAACCACAACAACAACACCAAAGGCAACAAACACAAAGCCAGCAGCAGCAACAACACCAATATGAATAATACTATCATTAATCAAGCAACGAGTGCTAATACTCGCAGCAACTCCAGCAGCAGCAGCACCAACAATCATGCCACCCTCATGCGCGATGTTTCCACAGGAAGCATGCGACCATCATGATAACCATCCCCATCATGGGGGGCTTTTGTTCTATGGCGGGGTCCGTTATTCCCATGTTTAGGTCTCCCGCACAATGAGGTCTTGCAAACACCTCCTCCGAGGAATTCCAACATATCCCGCTTCGAAAACGCATGCCCGCGCCTTGCTGCGCCGATGCGAGACCGCCAGTGGAACCCCAGCCAAGGGTAAAGCACACGGAAGTATTGAGCGACAGGATTGCCCTGGTGGGGATGGGTGTTGTCGGCGGCGCGGCAAGGATTTGGCCATGAATAGAAAGGGAGGAAGTCTCGAGCAGGGCCGCTGTTGTTGCTGGGAGCGGCGCCAATGCCGAAGAGAGTAGGGCACTAGTCCAGCGTAAAACAACACGAAGTCGCGAGCGGGAACGCTGGTTTTGTTGGGACGGCGGCTGTCGCCGGCGAGGAGGAACACAGCCTTGAGTGAGAAGGGAGGAAGTCTCGAGCGGGGGCTGGGGGCTGTCGGGACGGGGGCTGTCGGCGGCGAGGAACAGCAGCGTCCTGAGGAAAAAAAGAGGAAACCTCGAGCGGGAGCATTGTTCTTGCTGGGAGCGGCGCAAATTCAAAAGAGAGCATCAAGCGTAAAGCGGAAGGACATCTCGGGCGGAAACGCTGGTTTTGTCGGGACGGCGGTATTCGGCGGCGAGGAGGAATACCGCCTTGAGTAAAAAAGGGAGGAAGTCTTGAGCGGGAGCGTTGTCATTGTTGGGGGCGGCGCCGATGAGAGAACGAGTAGCGCGCCAGTCCAAGGTAAAACGGGAGGAAGTCTCGAGCGGTAGCGCTGGTCTTGTTGGGACGGCGGCTTTCGGCGGCGGGCAAGAGCACCATCCCTGAGTAAACAAGGGAGAACATCTCGAGCGGGAGCGTTGTTGTTGTTGTTGTTGTTGAACATTCTTACTTCTAGAGAATAATTATTGTTGGGACCCCTGGTGCACGACCCCCCCGCCGCGCCTAGGCCGCAGCCTCATTTTCATCATTTTCGTGAGGAAGTCTCAGGCAAAGCGGGGGAGTCCGGATCCGGTTGTGTTGTTACGATCGGTTTTCCCTTGCAAAAAATAAGCTAAAGTGGACATTTCTTGTTCTAACATAACCAAACTTCAAGAATCCCTTGCAAAAAATAAGGTAAAGTGGACATTCGCGCGCGCAAGACGAAATCCTTCCAAAACCTTAGTTTTCGTAGCGATTTTAACATAAAAACATCAAAAAACCAATGGTTTTTCAAAAAAAAATGTCAAAATTTCATCCCGCGCGCTCTTGCGGATTCGTAGGAAACCCAACACTTTTTAAACATTTCTGTCAAACGGGCTTTTGCGAGCAACTTTTTCGAACTTCTGCAACAACGGTTGCGCACCTGCCAGGGCCATCATCCCTGTCAAATAATACCATGCGGGACACATTCGTTTTTTCTTCGCGCGCGCACGCCGTCGTCGTCGGCCGCGGGGCCCTGAATAGTAGCCACGGTCGTCCGCATGCCACGAAGTGAAGTGTCCGAACGTCATAGGGCGGGAAGCTGGGTGTGGGTGGTGGCGAAGAGTCGTTTGGAAATTTGGTAGAGCTTGAACCGGCCCCCCCACAAAGTGGGGGTATTGCCCGCCTCCTATGAAAACCCTGGCACTGGTGAGAACGGAGTGTCCCCACGTGCTAGTATTTGTTGTTGTTGTTTGTTGTTGTTGTTGTTGTTGTTGTTGTTGTTGTTGTTGTTGTTGTGTTGTTGTTGTTGTTGTTGTTGAACACTATTACTTCTAAAGAATTATTATTGTTGGACCCCCTGGTGCACGCCCCCCGCCCAAAACCTAGGCCGCAGCTACATTTTCATCATTTTTCTGCGAAAGCTTCAGAAAAGTGGATTACCCCCGGATCCGTTTTTTTGTTGACGCTCGTTTTCCCTTGCAAAAAACAATAGAAAATGAAAATTCTTGTTCTTAGTTGATCAAATTTCAAGAATCCCTTGCAAAAAATAAGGTAAAGTGGACATTCGCGCTCGCAAGACGAAATCCTTCCAAAACCTTAGGTTTCGTAACGATTTTAACATAAAAACATCAAAAACCCAATGGTTTTTTAAGAAAAAATTGTCAAAATGTCCTTCCGCGCGCTCTTGCGGATTCATAGGAAACACACCACTTTTTAAACATTTCTGTCAAAAGGGTCTTTGCGTGCTACTTCTTCAGGTGCTTTGAACTTCTCCAACAACGGTTGCGCGCCTGCGAGGGCCACCATCCCTTGCAAAAAATGAGACGAAGTGCACATGCGCGCGGCCGCCGCGCGCGCATGTCGAAATCCTGCCAAACACAATGGGTTTTCAATAATTTCAATCCTCCGTCTGGCTGTGCACGCGCACGTTGGGCACTGAGAGTTAGGATCATAGCGCCATGAGTCTATGAACAATGCATGCGTCATCCTTGGGACTGTATAACATCAGTGTAACACATGTACTTCTGTAATCGCATCCCCACGAATTTGCCCCAAAAATGTGACCAACTATCTTGGCACTGCGTACCATCTCACGTGTACCGTGTACCACATCATATGTAACAGATGTGATCAACCTCTGTGGGTGTGTACCCCACGCCAGTGTAGTAGCCAGGGTCGTCCGCACGCCACGAAGTGAAGTGTCCCAACGTCATAGGGCGGGAAGCTGGGTGTGGGTGGTCTCGAAGAGTCGTTTGGATATTTGGTAGAGCTTGAACGGCCCCCCCACGAAGTGGGGGTATTGGCTGGTGTCGCAAGAAAACCCTGGCACTGGGGAGAACACTGAGCGTTCGGGTAAAATGATTGTTGTTGTTGTTGTTGTTGTTGGGGGGGGGCCGGTTTTGGCGCCCCCCAAACCGCTCGAGCGTGAGCTTCATGTTCAATGAAAATGTAGCCAGCGCCGAGGCGAGAGCGTCAAAGCGCTGGGATGGTCCAACACTTATAACTGTTTAGTGATTAACATTCAGCAGCAGCGACAACAACACACATATCAGCAGCAACGCCAGCAGCAACAAGAAGAACAGCTGCAGCAGCAGCAATACCAACACCACCAACAACAACAAGAATAATCCGCTCTGCGGAATCCCACTTCAGCCACGCACCCAGGGATAGTGAATGACCGCTCGGCCCTTTCGCTCTGATGGGTACCTGTCGGTTTCCCCAGGTCGGGGACGGGGTGGGCCACAGCCGAGCCCCGACGGGGAGACGCCAGTGGCCAGGGGCCAGCCTCGCCATCGACGCGGGGTTGAACAAACACGGCGTCGCCGTTCCCTCGCGGGCCGCCAGGTCGCGGCTTGGAGTCTTTGTGAGCCAGACGCGGACTGTGGATCGTCCGCCCGGCTCCCGAACCATGCCCCGCTCCGTCGGCAGCGCAGGCAAGGACGCGGGGGAGGGGAGCGTCGCCAGGCGCCGAAGCCCACCATGCCCTTTGTCTCCTCCTCCTCCTCCTTCTCCTCCTCCTCCTCCTCCTCTTCCTCCTCATTCTCCTCTCTTTCCTCCTCGTGCCTGTGCGCGTCGTGCTGCTTGACGTCCACGTCCTCGAGCCACGCCGCGCTGCACGCCGCCTCGGGCCCGCGCGAGCCCGGGCTGCCGACGCCGCTCGTCTTCCGCCGCGGGGCCCGCGGGCTCCTGCCTGTGCCGTGGCGCCTGGGCACGCCTCGGCGCCTGGGAGCAGCGCTGGCCGGCGGCGCCGTGGGCCCTCCCCCGCCGAGCCCTCGCCCCCCCCCTTCCTGGCCGCCCTCGCCCTCGCGCCAGCAGCCACCCGCGGATCGAGCAGGGAGAGGCCACCGCCAGAGCGGCCACCCGCCGCGAGCCGCCGCCGACCGCCGCGCCGTGGGCTGCCTCGTCGGACGAGGGCGCCCAGGGCAGTCGCACGCCCCCGCGGCGCGGAGCGGGTCGCCAAGGCCAGCGCGCTCCCGAGCGGAGGCCACGTGCGCACCGCGGGCACGGCCCGCGCGGGTGGAGCGCCGATCTGACGTTCATTCTGAAGGGAGCGCCCGGGAGCAGGATCGAGGCCGACTTGAGAGGTCTAGGCGGACGAGCGGGAGCATTAGGTATGATCGGGAGGATGCTGATGCGCAGGATTGCGATGGTGTCGATGATATAGTTCTATGGGGCTTCTGGGGCAAAAGGGTGGCCGTTACTATCGGAGTAGTGATGACGATGTTTGATGAAGTACCGGCAGAAGGAGGAGGATGAGGAGGAGGAGGAGGAGGAAGAGCAGGAGATTGAGGAGGAGGAGGAGGAGGACAAACGAGATGCGGAGGGCGGATAAACGCGGAACGGGAAGGAAGAGGGTGCGGAGGAGGGAGGCGGGAGACTGAGTAGGAGGAGCAGGAGGAGCAGGAGGAGAGCAGGAGGAGACGGACGAGGAGAGCGAGGAAGGCGAAAGAGAGGGCGCCGTCGTCGTCGTCGTCGCCGTCGTCGTCGCCGACGTAGTCGTCGTGTTCGTCGTCGTCGTCGTCGTTGTCGTCGTCAGGGGGGCGGGGTGGGCGCTACATCTTCGGCTCCCCACCAACGCGCCCTTCACGTTCTCGAGCGGCAACTGCCTGCCGATGGCTTGCGCGGAGGCCGAGCTGCAGTCGGCGGTCAACGGCCTCGCCGGGAACGCGACAAAGAGGCCCGGGCCGCCCTCCCTCTCCCCTCCCTCTCCCCTCCCTCTCCCCTCCCTCTCCCTCTCCCCTCCCTCTCCCCTCCCTCTCCCCTCCCTCTCCCCTCCCTCTCCCCTCCCTCTCCCCTCCCTCTCCTCCCTCTCCCTCTCCCCTCCCTCCCCCCTCCCCCTCGGAGGCCCTCCGCCGTCCCCCTGCCGTGCTTTGGAGCTCTTCGGGTGTTCCCCAGGCGGCCCCCGGGGCTCGAGCCAAGCGGTGTTTGGGCGATTTCGTGGCCCGTGTTCGTTTTGACTTCGTTTCGCAGCAGAGGCAGGACAGAGACAGAACGAAGGAACAACAAGAAAAAACGAACACGAAAAACACTGTTTAGCTCGAGCCATGGCGGCCGCACCCCAATTTTTGGGTACCTGGAACCTCCGAGGGACCCCCCCCCCTCTTCTCAGCCCCCCCCCCGCCCCCTCCCACCGAGAGGGGCCCCGCGCGCCCGGGGAGTCCGGGAGCCGAGCCCCCTTTGACGGTCAGCCGTGTACGCCTCGCCGGAGCGGCTCACGCGTCCGCGCTCGGCGGGCCCGCGTGAGGCGAGCCGTGATGTGAGCGAGGCCGAGACAGCCGGCGGCTCGAACAAGTAGAGACGGAGGTTGTTCATAGTTTCCGGCCGTTCGGGGCCCTTACCAGGCGCTCGGGCTGAAACACCGGTCCCAGGGAAGTGGTTGAGAGGTCGGGGGACCGTGTCTCTAACGCCGGATGTCCGGGGAGCTTCCGCTTGGGGGCTTCCGCTTGGGGGCTTCCGCTCGGTCTGGGGAGCTTCCGCTTTGCAGCGTGCTAGCTTGTGCCTGTCTCGTTCGCTCTCTCTCTGTCCCTCTCTCTGTATCTATATATAGCCTTCTTTCGATGTTTATACTGATATGTCTATATGTATATGTATATATATATATGTGTGTATATATGCAGGCACGCCAGATGGGGTCAGAGCAGATGAGATCGGATGATCGCGCCGCCCAGAAATAGCGGTCCGCGGCCCCCAAGAAGTTTTTGAGCAGTCAACACTTAGTTTGAACGTGTTCCAGACTTCGACGTCTTCTGCTCAAGAGGCCCTCTCACAAGAGAGCAATAGCAGGGCGAGAAGGAACACAAGCAAAAGGAGCGCATCTACATAGAAGCCCGACATCAGAGCATTCGAATGGCACTTGGGCCTCCTGAGGCGTTCGTGGCTGATTCTGCAGGGCTTGGTCAGCTGGCGGTCTGGGGTGTTTTCTTGGGACGGAGGGCTCGAAATGTCAATTTGATTAATTACCTCTGTTTGGACCATCTTGGGGCCCTGTTGGGGCCCTGTCAGGCCGTCTTGGGCGCCTCTTAGGCCGTCTCGTCTTCAGGCCCTCTTGGTGGCCTTCTGAGCCGCTTTGGAACGATCTTGCGAGCCTCTTGAGCCGTCTTGGGCATTGTTCATGACAAAAAGGCGAACCTTCTAGAACTGCTAGCTCTCCCAAGGGTTTGGGACGATGTACGCCTCTTGGGACCCTCTTGTGGGTCATTTCGGAGCCCTCTTTGGGCGTCTTCGAAGCCATATTGGGCCGTCTTGAAGCTGTATTGCATGTTTGTGAGGGTTTCTCCGCGCTTTGGAGCTTGAGCCAGCTTAGACGGCATCTTGTGCAGCTCCACGGAGTGTAGATCTGGAGGCTCCAGAGGCCTTGTAGGTGCGTTGGCGAGCTTTGCCCCTTTCCCCCCCCACTCTCCGCTTATGCGATTTTGGACCCCATGGTATGGGGGAAAGGGGGATGGGGGACAGCCAATCATCTCACACGCCGGTGCCCACCCGGCAAGCGTGAGACGCCCCAAGATTGCTTCAAAACGGCCGAGGAGCCTCCGAGAGGCAGGCCCGACAGGGGCCAACATGGCCTCCAGACGGCCAAGATGACCTTCAAGATGCCCACGTGTTCCCCGAAGGCTTTCCAAACCGATTCGGGGAACACACTGTCCGATAGCTTGGCAGGTCTGGCCTCAACGTTCGGCCACATAGGCGCTTCCAAAAAGGCATGGGGCGGCGGTGATTCGCCGTATGCGTCTTCGATCCGCCGCCCACTGCTGGCTTGCCACAGGGGTTCCTGGCGCGCCAGATTTCAGAAGGTTCTTGGTTCTTCTAGACCTCCCTGTGGGGCTTCGGTCGATGCGCTGGCTACCCAGAAGGCTTGCCCAGAGGTGGTTGCAAACGGTTTTCCCGCTTCAGATGGCTCCAAAATGGCCCAAGATTTCAAGTTCGCCCAAGATGGTCCACGATGGCCTCCACGACGGCCCAAGCGCGTCCAAGATGCCTCCAAGTTTGCCCAAGAAGCCTCCAGCGCGGCCCAAGATGGCCTCAATATTGACAGCAGACGGCTCAAGACGCCCTCAAGAAGCCTCCAAGACGGCCCAAACGGCTTCCAAGAGGTCCTCCAGGAAGGCCCGAAGAGGCCAGCATGATTGATGTTCCTGAGGTTTTTGAATGATTGGCGTTTGCTTATTTTCGCCTTCGGACGGCCCAAGATGGGCTAACAGGCGCCCAGGATCGCCTCAAGATGGCCCAACAGGCCTCCAAGACAGCCCCAAAACGGCCCCAAGGCGGCCCAAGAGGCTTCCAAGATGCCCAACATGGCCTACAAAGACTGCCTTGGAGCACCCCAGCAGGTCCCCAAGTCGGCCCAGATATGCCCCCTATGCGGCTTCTGACGGCGTCAGACGGGCCAGGAGGCCATCAAGGCGGCCCAAGGTGGCTTCAAGATGGCCCAGAACGGCCCAAGAGGCCCCCAAGAGGTCTCCAAGACGGCCCAAGAGGCCTCGAAGATGGCTTCCAGGAAGGCCCGAAGAGGTCAGCTTCAGTAATCTTCCTCAGGTGTTTGAAGGATTTTGGCATGCGCTTCGTTTCAGCCGTCCGACGGCCCGAGACGACCCAAGAGCCCTCGGAGATCGCCCCAAGATCGCCCAAGAGGCCTCCAAGATGGCCCCAGAACGGCCCACGATGCTCCCAAGACGGCCCCAAGGCGGCCCAAGAGGCTTCCAAGACGCCCAAGATGGCCTACAAAGACAGCTTTGGAGCACCCCAAGATGTCCCCAAGTCGGCCCACCCAAAGACGGCCTCCGACGGCGTCAGACGGGCCAGGAACGCCCTAAGACTGTCAAATTTGCCCCTGAGAAGCTTCCAAAGGCCCCCAGAGGCCCAAGGAGGTCCCAAGATGCCTACAAGAGGCTCCCAAGAAGCTCTCAGGAGGCCCCAAGAGTGCCCCCAGAGGCCCACAAGATGCCCCCTCCTCCTCCTCCTCCTCCTCCTCCTCCTCCTCCTCCTCCTCCTCCTCCTTGTCATCCTCCTCCTTCTCCTGATCTTCCCCGCCATCCTCCCCCAAGTGTTTCCCGAAGGGTTTCCACACCGGCTGGGGGAACACGTGGTCCGATAGATTGGCAGAGCTCTTGCCACACCGCTCGGCCACATGGGCGATTCCAGAAGGAAGGGGGTGGCGGTGTTTCGCCGTATGCGTCTCCGAAATGCAAGCAGTCAGCCTGGCGAAGGGCCTAACCCTCTGCAGTCACGTGTAGCGCAGGGCGCGGCCCTCTCTTCATACACTGCGCGCCGCAGTGCGGTGCGGATAAGGACCTGCTTCGGAGCAAGCGTGCGCAGGCGCTCTGAACTTCTTGTTGATCACAGTCCGCGTGAAGGGGGTGCCGAGTAATCTGGATGCACCCGTGGGAGCGCCCACGAACGCCGCAGGTGGAGCTCCCCGCGGGGGGACTCCTTGTGAATGTGCCCATTGGTGCCTCAGGTGGAGCTCCCAGCGTGGCTCGATTCGCGTTCAGGGCGCTGTACGAACCGTGCCTACGAGCTTGTAGGTGGTGTTGCCTGTGGTCACGATCCGCGTGATGGGTATGCCGCAATGGCCAGGGGGGGACGCAATGCGAACCTTGCCTCCGGGGCCGTAGGTGGAGATCCTTGTGAGCCACGATCCGTGTGAGAGGTGCGCCGAAGTCGGCGGAGGTGCGGGATGCGAACCTTTTTATATTGGGCCTCCGTGGGACCCCTTGCGGGCCACGATCCGTGTGAGAGGTGTGCCGAAGTCAGTAGGGCGACGCTATGGAACTTCTTGGGCCTCTCGGGGGCCTCCTAGGCCGTCTTAGGGCACTGTCCATCAAACGCATCTGGACACCTTTGCGGGAGCCTCTTGATCGTTGCAGGGCCGTCTTGAGGCCCTGTGTAGGGACGTCTTTCTAGACCTCTTGATGATCATCTTGTGGCCCTTTGGCCGTCTTGGGACCATCGGGGGCTTCTTCGGCCGCGTTGAGGCTGTTGGACCCTCTTCGGACTGTTGGGAACCCGAAACAATGCATTCAAACGGGTGTTGTTTAGAGTTCTTCAGGCTGTCCTGGAAAGCCTCGGGCCCCCTCCAGGCCATTTTGGCCGCCTTGGAGTCACACGGGGGGAATTTGGAGGCTTCTTGGGACCCTCGTGCCATCTTGGAGGCCAGCTGTCACCGTATTGGGCCGTCTGGGTCCCTCTTGAGGACCATCTTGGGCCATGTTGGTTGGCTAGGAGGCGAGCTGTCTTGACGTTGGGTGCTGTGTGCGGTGGCGTCGGACGGGCCGAGATCCGCATGTAATCTTTTGGACGGGGCAGCCATGTCATAAAGCCTGGCATACGTCGCATCCCTCTTGCATGTAACCTCGGGCGACGGATCGAAGACTCCTACGACGAGACACCGCCGTCTCCTGCCTTGGGTGAAACGCCTCTGTCTCTAACCGTTGGGGAGAGAGTCGGCAAGCGTTTGGACTGCGGGCGTTTCGTTGAACCTCTTGGGCTGGTTTGAAACCATTTTGGGGCGAACAGAGGTTGCCTGCGGTCGTCTTCAAACCATATTCGCGCTTGGAAAGGCAGAACGCGCCCTCCCGGAAGGGTGGCCCATGGATCGCTCGAAAAGGAGGATCAAGCGCCTCAGGACACTTCAACACGGACCACGAGGAGCGTTAGACTGCGAACGATGCCCCCAGATGTTCCCAAGACAGTGCAAGATGGCCTTCGGATTGCCCAACAAGCCCCCAATACTCCCATGGAGAGTTTCAAAATGAACGCAGTATTCACTATGTGCTTTCCGAGGCCGAACACTTGACTACAACCAGAGCTTGCTGGAACCTAGCGCGCACGAAGCGCGCGCTAGGTTCTAGTATCCATATCTGTATCCTGCTGGATACCCAGGTGCGATTTCATGGACACGCGATCCCTTGTATACGTTCCGCACGGGGTATCCACGGAAAGCCGGCCTTGTGTCTATGGGGTCGCTACCAAGGAGCCCTCACCGCGTTGCCGCGGATGTGGACATGCTTGCCGATGCCTGCCGCCCACGAGAGATCCACCCGAGAGGCTCTCCCCGCGCGTCCAGTGCGGCTTCGTGCGACCGCTGGGCAACGCCACGGGTGCCAGCAAGGACCCGTCCTCTGGTCCAGCGTCCGTCTCCAGTGCCCCAGGCCGACCCCGCCTGCTTTCTTCCCAACGCGTCAAGTTTGGGGCCAATGCACTTCTGACGTTCACGGCTTTTTTATCCTCCTTCTTCTTCTTCTTCTTATTTTTCTTATTTTTCTTCTTCTGCTTCTTCTGCTTCTTCTTCTTCTTCTTCTTCTTCTTCTTCTTCCAGTCTGGGCCGCCCCCGCGCTCCCAGGCTTCGAGCCCTCTCACAGCACACGCTCGGCAGCCCCCCCCCCTTACCCCTGCCTCGCCCAGGACCTCGAGCACGTGCTCGGCTGGGGCGGCGTGCCCGTCGAGCACACGAGCAACTACCGCGTCACTCCGGGCTTCGTCGCCGCCGTCTGCCTGTGCACGGTGATCCTGGGGCTGGTCGCCGCGGGGACGGCGCTGGACCTGCGCCGGGAGGCCCGGGAGCAGAAGCAGCAGGAGCGGCAGCTCGGCGGGCTCGCGGAGATGGAGCAGCCCCTGTCCGCGGAGCCGGCCTCCCTGCAGAGGCCTCGGCCCGAGGGAGGGGGCCTCCCCCTTCCCTCCCCCCTCCCCCCTTGTAAGCATATTTTAAATTGCTGCCTAACCAAGGTTTGTTCCCCCCCCGCCTCCCCCTCCCTCCCCCCCCCCCCCCCCCCCACTCCCCCTCCCTCCCCCCTTCCCTCCCCCCTCCCCTCCCCCTCCCCCCCTCCCTCCCCCCTCCCTCCCTCCTCCCCCCTTCCCTCCCTCCACGCCTTTCCCCTCCCCTCCCTCCCTGCCCTCGCGTCGCGGCCCAGAGACGGCGCTCCACGCGCGCCGCTGCACCACACCGGGCCAGGCTCAAGGAGGGGGGGGGGAGGGACCTGGAGGGAGGGGCGGAGAGAGCAGGCGGGCGGAAGCCACGGCGCGGAGGAGAGCTCCCTCCCTCCCCTTGCCCTCCGTCCTTTCTCCCTCCCTGCTCCCTCCATCCCTCCCCCACTCCCCCTCTCATCCTCCCGTGCTGCTAGAAGTCCAATGTGGGCTGTCCAGCCGGGCGGCAGCGCCATGTGAACCTGTCCAAGCCAGTATCATTGGTGTGGCTGCATGCCGAGCGTTCGCATGCGACACTGTCAGCGCTGCTAGGTTCAGGCAATTCATGGAAGATCCCTCCTCCTCCTCCTTGTCCTCCTCCCCGAGGATCAGGGGTTGGGGGAGATCGAGGATCGAGGTGTTCGAGCGATCTTGGGCCGCTTTTCGGGGGACCTCCTCAGACTTCTGGGGGGTACTAGTCCAGGCGGGGTAGTCCAGGGGGGAGGGTAGTCCAGGGGGGAGGGTAGCCCAGGAGGGGTGCCGCTGTTGGGGCGCAAAGGAGTACTTCGGCGGGCACTCGACGTGTGACGTCGGGGCACCCTGGCGCATGCTCGTTGTGCTTCTCATCTTTCTCGCTTTCTCTCTCCGTTCGCCCATCTTCGCACGTCCGCCCGAAGGTCCCCTCTGGAGACGTTTCTGAACCACTGGTCCCTGGTTCGGAACTGCGGCTCGCTGATGCGCATCCGGGCCCCGGAGCAGAACCAGTTTGCGTGCCTCGACTCAATCCGTGTGATCTCGATGGTTCAGGTCATCCTGGGGCACTCGTTTCTCTACCCAGTGATCTCTAGCGGCCTAAGCAACATGGAGCAGTTCTCCCCGCCAAACGGGCTGATGGGTCAAACCTGGTTCATGATGATCCCCGGGTGTTTCTACGGGGTCGACAGCTTCTTCCTCCTCTCGGGATTTCTGTGTGCGAATGGTCTGGAGAAGAAGGTCTTTTCGAAGCCTCAGTTCAGGACGCCGGCCGGGTTTTCGAAAATGTACCTACAGTTCATTGTGATGCGGTATTTGCGATTGATGCCGCTGGCGATGTTCGTGACCTTTCTCGTGACCGCCGTGCTTCCGAGCATGGGGACGGGTGTGCTCTGGGAGATGGATCGCCCGAGCGGGACCCGGTGCTATGGGGCTGCTGGCGGTAACGGTTGCGACAAGTATTGGTGGACGATTCTGTTGGTCATCCAGAATGCGGACAAGTACCTCGGCAAGTGCATGGGCCACCTGTGGTATCTCGCCGCGGACCTGCAGATCTACCTGCTCGCGCCCTTCTTCAGCCTCGCCTACGCCCTGAACCACAGGGCTGGCTGGGCCCTCCTGGGCTCCGCCCTTCTGGCTGGCATAGCGATCCCGATGATCCTGATGCACCATTACCAGTGGGTGCCCGACACGCTTCTGGGCGGCAAGATGTTCGGCCCGAAGGTGTACATGAAGCCGTGGTGCCGTCTCTCGCCCTTCATCATCGGCATCGGGCTCGCGTGGATCTGGAGCTCGCGTTTCGAGAGGGCCAGGAGCCGGCGCTTCGTGGAGAACCGGGGCCTCTGCGTCACGCCCCGGGGTAGGTGGCTGAGCCTGGCGCTGAGCGTGCTGGGCATCGGGCTCTGCTGCGCGGCGACCTTTGGCAGGCTGGTCATGTACAAGGGCGACATGACTGTCGTCACGGACATCAACCGCAACCCCGCCGGCAAGTTCTTCATGTAGCCAGCGGCCTTCGGCCCAGCCCGCCACCGTGCCTGGGTCGTGCACGCGAGGCCTCCTCGGTCGCCTGTGGGCCTCTTGGAGGCCCCTTTGGGGGCCACCCTGGGGGCCTCGTGCGGATCTTTTTGGGGGCCTCTTGACCGCCTCGGGGGGGCCCGCTGCCTACTTCGGGGGCCATCCTGAGGGGGAGGTCTCCGAATGCCAGTTCGACGTTGCTTTTCTCGGGCCCCAGTCTTGGGGGCCTCCTGCTTGTTTAGCAGCGTGTAGGCGGTGATCGCGTAAGCGGCGTCGTCGATTATCTGGATAGTCCTTCTGTAGCCGCCGGTGGGCTAGAGTCTGTAGTGCCCTATGGAGCTCCGGGGGTCCCTGGTGGATCCTGCCCGGTAGGCCTTGCATGGACTCAAGGGCGCCCTCGAGCTGCAAACACTAGCGGTGGGCAGAAGGTGTCGAGAGGGCGTGGTTGAAGTGAACAACTGTGCTGCAGACGCTACATCCTGCGATTGTCTTCGGGCATGGGGCATGGGGGGCCGTCTTGGCGCGGCCTGGGGGGCCACTTGGGCTTTCTTAGGCGCCCGTACGACCGAAACGGCGTGGAAGTGCAATGATTTTGGCGTCTCGGCCAGCCCCAAGACGTCGAAGACGGTTCGAGAGGCCCCTGAAAGGGCTCCAGCATGGACTCCTCGGATTGATTATCCCGGGCTGTGTTCGAGGCTGAGACCTCGGGTCGTGCTCCCAGGGCTTCCAGCAGAGCACTCCGAGATCGCCGGGCGGTGCCCGCGAGCTTGGTGCTTCTGGGCTTATGCAAAGCACCCATGACGACTACACCTCAGGCGATGCTCAAGAAAACTTACATTTTCGGCCAGAGTCTCGATTATTCTTAGTGTTTCAATTGAATTCCTAAGATTTTGATAGAAATTCTGGGTTTTATTAAAATTCTGAGACTATGAATTTCTGAACCCATGATTTCTTAAGCATTTCGCAGGGTGTAATTTCCATCTGGAGGCATCCAAGGGGCCCGAGGAGACTCCAGTCCTAGAGTAACAAAAAAAAGCCGCATCAACAATTTTTGTCGACGGTGCGCGCGGATCTCGTGGATCCGCGCTGGGCCCCCCGTGGCGGCGCCTCCAGCGCCGCCCCTTTTGCGCGCTCCGCGCGCCAGGGAGGGGGCTCTAGCCAAGGGCTCCCCCGAGGGCGCGAAGTTATTCGCGCTTCGCGGTCCTCGTTCCTTCTCCCCTTCCTCCTCGTCCTCCTTTTCTCCCTTTGGGGGGGCGGCGCGAGAGCGCGAAGTTATTCGCGCTTCGCGCTTCGCGCAGCGCGAAGCGCGAAGTTGGGAGCCCTAGTCTAGCGCGGATCCGAGAAATCCGCGCGGACCGTCGAAAGTTGGTGCTTGTGCGGATTTTTGCTCCTCCAAGTCCTCGTAGAAGACAGCGGCATCAAGACGAGCTCTCGGAGGTGCGCGCGGATTTCTCGGATCGGCGCCGGGCCCCCCTGCGCTGTCCCTGGTGCACTCCACGCGCCAGAGAGGCAGGTGCAGCGCCGATCCAAGAGATCCGCTTGGACCTCCGAAATTTGTATTGTATTATCGGGGGTAGCCCGAGTTTGTTTCTCGCGAGGTAAACAGACTGAACTGAGCTGAATTGAACTGAACTGAACAGACTGGTCGCACCCGTTACACGACGGTTTTATTTTCGGCCGCCGAGAGCGCAACCTATGGCGCAACCGATAGGAGACGGTTTTATTCTCGGCCGCAGGGGGGCGCAACCTATGGCGCAACCGATAGGAGACGGTTTTATTCTCGGCCGCCGAGGTGCCAGGAGAAGGAGGACCAGCAGGAGGAGGAAGAGGAGAAACGAGGACGAGGTCCTAGACGAGGACGGCGAAGAGGAGTTGGAGCAGGAGGAAGACGAGGAAAACGAGTCGGAGGAGGAGGAGGAGGACGAGGAGGAGCAGGACGACGACGACGGTCCGGATGGGGAGGAGGACGGGGAGGAATACGGGGCGTATGAGGACGAATTGTGGACATTCGAATGCGTGCGGGGCTACGCCCGATTTATGCTCGCCGTTTGAGCTGGCGGTGGGGCCCAAGCGGCAAGCCGTCTTGTGATTTCATGCCTTTGCTGTTCTCTTACACGAGGACTCCCAGGGGCATGAGTAGACTCCACTCCGTGCCTCGCAGTGCGGTGGCGGATTTGTGGACTGGGTTCAGCATACCCGTGTGGGCTCTCGGGATGAGTCTCGTCATACATTTGTGCAACCAGGACCGGTTCCTCCCACTGGTGCAGTCTTTCTTATGCCAGCCATTCTGGCAACCGATCGCAAAGTTGACATACGCCGCCTACCTCATCCACACGTCCGTGCTCATTCTGGACTTCTGCCAGCGAGATCAGGAGTACACCTACGCAGGCAGCATATATTTCTTCGGGGTGATCGCGTTTATAGTTGTGTCCATGGTCCTTGCCGCCATCCTGCACGTGATGGTGGAGAAGCCGCTGGCAAACCTGCAGATGAAGCTTCTTGGAGGCGGCGGCGACTGAGGCCTCCTCGGGGAGAGGCCGCTTCTCACCGTACGTAGGTCTGGAGAGGCTCCCTGCTGACGCGAAGCTGCAGGCGATGTGGAGGAGGAGGAGGAGGAGGAGGAGGAGGAGGAGGGAGTGGGAGGAGAAAGACAGAGAGGAAACAAGGCGGTGAGGATGTTCCTGAGCAGGAAGAGGAGGAGAAGGGAAGAGCACGAGAGTGAGGTTCGGACTTAGCCTCGGTCTTTCCCTCGGTCGTAGCGCTACTGCACTCTTCCTCGCGGGTATGCGTCGTTCCTCCCGGGGAGTTTTCAAACGAACCAAAAACCATCAGACGTTTAACACGCCGGGCACCCCTGTGAGAAATCAACAGGGGGGGCGCGGACCCAATGGTCTAAGGCCCATCCCGCCACCGTGCCTGGATTGTGGGTCAGCGTCCTCGGTGATTCCTCTTGGGGTCTCTTCGGAGCGCTCTTGGGGCCTCTAGAGGATAGTTTCGGGGCCTGTTGGAGGCATCTTGGGAGCCTCTCGGAGGCCTCTTGGGAGTATCCTGGGGGCCTCTTGGGGGCCTCTTAGGGGGCCTCTGAGGGCCTGAGGGGCCTTTCGCGGCCGAGGGCTCGAACTGTCCGTTCGGGTTCTCCCTGTGGGCCCCCTCTTGGAGCCGTCTTGGGGGCCTCTTGGGCCGTCTTGGGGCCCTCTGTGGCCGTCTGGGGGCCCTCTGGGAGGCCTCTGGGACTGTCTTGGGGCGATCTGGCGGGCCTCTGAAGCCGATTTGGAGCGTCGGGAAGCCGTCAAGGCAAGAAAGCTAAAATCTTTCGAACACCGAGGGGAGATCGATGATTTTTGCCTCTGGCCTGTTGAAGGCCTCTGGGGGGGTCATGGGGGCATCTTGGGCAGTCGTGAGACCGCCTTGGGCGTCTTGGAGCGATCTTTCGGCGACTCTGACTCGGGGCCCTCTTGGACCGTCTGGGGGACCTCTTGAGGCCCGCGTGGCCCGGTCTTGAGGCCCCCTGGGCTCCCAAAACGTCATGCGCTCACTCCCACGGGCCCCGGAGGCAGGCGGCACGCCCCAGGAGATTTGGCAATTTCGCGCCTGGGCCCCTTGGCGAATCCTCGGGGTAGGACTGAGGCTCCAGGGGATCCATCAAGGGTTCTGAGGACACTCCAACTCGTGCCTCGAGATGCGGCACGCCCCAGGAGATTTGGCAATTTCGCGCCTGGGCCCCTTGGCGAATCCTCAGGATAGGACTGAAGGCTCCAGGGGATCCATCACGGGTTCTGAGGACACTCCCACTCGTGCCTCCAGGGCACGGTGGCAGAGCCATAAGGGCAAGGCAAGGAAGGGAGGAAGGGAGGAGGGAGGAGCAGGAGGAGAAGGAGGAGGAAGAGGAGGACAAGCTGAACAACGGAGCAAATCATAAACATCATTCTTCGAGGTCCACGAGGATGTTTGGGATTGGCGTTGGGCCCCCTTGGCGGCGCCTCTGGCTCCGCCCCTGGCGCGCTCCGCGCGCCAGGGACGGGGGTCCAGCCTCGATTCGAGAGATCCGCGCGATGCTCAGAAGCAGACTCGATTCCGCCGCTCCTGGTTCCTCCGATGGAGGAGGAGACCCCGCCGGCCACCCAGACGGCAGCCCCCGCTTCTTCAGCGGGGCTGGTCTCGCGGGCCTCGGTAGTGCGTCGAGCGTCTCCGCGCAGCAGCCACAGAGTGTCCGCAACAGCTGCTGTGGGCGGATGGACGCTCGGTTCTTCTTCTTCTTAGCCCCTCCTTGGGCGGGCTCGTCCTGGCCCCTGCGGCTCCAGTTGCAAGGGGAGGCGCTTGCTGGTCGCTCCCTATCCCCAGTCTTTTGCGTCGCGCCCTTCATCTTCCTCCTCCACGTCCTCCTTCCTCGTCACTCTTGTCCTCTCCCCCACCTCTGATCTGATTTGCGCCCCAGACCAGTCCAGTCCAGTCCAGTCCTTCTTCACCACTGCCCGCTCTTTCCGTGCCTTCTTCTTCCCTCCTTCCCTGCTGGGGTCAGGAGCTCCCCTTGCTGCGTGTGGATCCCCCGAATGCCTGGCCCCCCGGTCAAAAGAACAGAGGAGGTACGAGAACGATTCCGCAGTATGTTGGGAGTTCTTGGGGTTCCAGATGCAATCTGATATTGCGTGCTCACGGGGGGAACATTGGGTAGGCCTGGAGTCAGAGAGTGCCCTCCTATGCAGGACCTTAAGATAGGGGACGTCAAGAGGGTCAAGGGGGGCGCCAAGGGGGTGCATCAAGGGGGGGCGTCAAGGGAATGCATCAAGGGAGGCAGGCAAAGCGCGCTGTTCAAGCGCGCAGAGTGGTTACACCCTTTGACGCCCGTTCCTGGGTGCTTACGGACTTGACCCTTTGGCCCTACACGAGGGAAACATCGAGCTGGGATCGGCGATACCACGCCGATAGATCGGCGATAGCCCTCCGATAGCGCAGCCGCGCGTTCATGGGAGGGCTGGGCAGCGGCGGGG